AACCTCATCCCGCCCCCTTGACTTGTCCGTCCTCCCTGGACTGACCTATCTCCTCCCTACCTCCCCACCTACACTCACCTTTACTGGCTCCATCCCCGTCTCTTTGACCTGTCTGTCTCCTCTCCACCTATCTTCTCCTCTATCCATCTTCTATCCGCCTCCCCCTCTCTTCCTATTTATTTCAGAACCCCCTCCCCGTCCCCCATTTCTGAAGAAGGGTCTAGGCCCGAAACATCAGCCTTCCTGCTCCTCTGATGCTGCTTGGCCTGCTGTGTTCATCCAGCTCTACACTTTGCTATCTCAGATTCTCCAGCATCTGCAGTTCCTACTATCTCTGATATAATATCAATGAGTTTTGTTTATTTCCAGTTATTGTAACTAGACCACTCTAAGGAGATCTCCAAAAAGGGCCCATGATTTTCAGAAAGTCCATGGCAGAACTCTGCCATCTTCCAACAGATGTTGGACAGGGACAGTTGCTGAAATGGCCAGTAATCTTTTACACCGTAGTACAAAGTTACATCTTACAGATTTCACAAATAATGTTTTCATTTTCAAGGGATTTAATATTTTCCTTACATGTCTAGAAGGAGGACAAGGAGGAACCTTTAAAAATACTCAAGGCTAAGCTTATACTGATGTGTGACCAATTACATGGTGCTACTTTGGTAGTCCAGAGATGTGCAGCTTAGGTGAATTGGCCATGGTAAATTGCCCATAGTGTCCAGGGATGTGTAGGCTAGGTGGGTTAGCTGTGCTAAATGTGGGGTTACAGGAAAAGAATCGGGTCTGGGTGGAATGCTCTTCACAGGGTTGGTGTGGACTCAAAATGGGCCAAATGGTCTCATTCTGCACTGTGGAGTTTTATGAAGGTTTAAACATCAAACTTCCATAAATTCAACACAAGTCTCAAGTGTCTCTTTCTTCAGTCATATTTTTTTCTGGTGACAAGCATTCAGCTTTTGAGGAAAAAAAAACTGTCTGGCTGTTCATTACCCTATTTATCTTCCTGTAGTGTTTATAAGTGTTCCAAGGGTCGGAGACTTCCATTGTTTGGATAAATTTAAGAAGTTAGGATTGTTCTCCTTCAAGATGAGGTTAAGAGGAGATGGGACTGAGGTATTGGACATCATGAGGAGACTAGACAGAGCAGACAGGGATAAACTGTTCTCTTTATCAAAAGGGCGAGAACCAGAAGGCATTGATTTGTGGTGCATGGCAAAGTAATGAAAGACGATGAGGAAAAACTATTTACACAACAGTTGTTTGAGAATCCTGAACGCACTGCCTGAGAAAACGATTTAAGCAGAGTTAATTGAGACTTCCAAAAGAAAATTGGATAAACACCTGTAAAGAAATATAACAAAAAGAGTGCTGTGCGCGGGGTAAAGAGTGGGACTAACGGAGTTGCTCATGACATTGCACAAAACCGAGGAATCAAACGGTCTCTTCCACACGGTACCTGTCCTTTAATTTGAGTGCAGCTTCAGCTGAATGCAGGAGCCTCCCTGACTGAATTAACTCCGAGCACTTTCTTCACTTACCCCTTCCCGAGCCCCTTACCTTTGGCGGGGCTGGCGCTGCGGAAGTCTACCGTTATTCCCTTCCCGCCAGGATCCGACCGCGCGGTGGCACCAGGCACGTGGACGGCGAGCGGCAACGGGCACGCGACGGGTGGTGGTGGTGGAGGTTCCTGGTACATGAGCAGTAGGAGTGATGTTTAAAAAATAGTGATTTTTCGTGCTCCTTCAGATTAGTCAATCAAAATGAAGTGCGAAGGTGGGAACACCGTTTTCTTTGCCTTAAGCGCTGTTATCAACTGGAAATAAAAGCTCACCGCTGATCCCTGGATCAAATCGACCGCACGGTTATTGGCAATTTCATAGCTGGAAATGGATTGCAGAATTAACTAATTTCAAATATTACGGCACAAGCACGACTGATACGTTGAGTGCATATGTAATAATCTTTCAACTTGCAATGTTGAGTTTTCTATCCATGGTCATATTTTCTTAACACTAAACAATGTAGCAGAGAATAACAATAAATTGTATCCCATTTTTAACATAACGTATCCGAAGGAGTTTCAAAACAACATTTTAAACAAAATTGAACATTGAATATATTTGTAATTCAAGGAAAGTTTTAAGAAGCTTCTTAGAAAGGGGACGAGATCTCCGGAGGCTGAAAGTGATACGATGGGAATTCCAGAGCTAATGGTCAAGGAATCTATAAGCAAGCAGAGCAGCTAAAATAGAGACTGCTGAAAAGACCATAGTATGTTGGATATCGATTGTTGGAGAGTTGTTGAACTGGAATAGATGACAGCGTTAGGGAGTGGCAAGCCCATTTGGAAACAAGGAAGAATCATTCCAAATCAACATGTGTACTCCTGGGAATACGTCCAGGGAAGTTATTTGGGTGGGACTGAGAAAGAAGAAAGGGTTGATCACTTTTTGGGATTGTACTATAGATTTACCAATAGTCAGCAGGAAATTGAGAAACAATTTTCTAAGGAGGTCTCAGTTATCTGTAAGAATATTAGGGTGGTTATGGTAAGGGTTTTTAACTTTCCAAATATAGATTGTGATTGCCATAGTGGATGGAAAGAAATTCGTTAAGTGTGCGCAAGAAAATTTTCTGATTCAGTATATGGATATACCTACTAGAGAAGGTACAAAACTTGACCCATTCTTGGGAAAAAAGGCAGGTCAGGTGAATGAGGTGTCAGTGGGGGAGTACTTTGGGTCCAGTGACCATAATTCTGTTAGATTTAAACTAGTGATGGAAAAGGATAGGCCAGATCTAAAAGCTTAAGTTCTAAATTGGAGGAAAGCCAATTTTGATGGTATTGGGCATATCTATTCTGTCTGTGAACTTTCAAAAGTTGATTGCGGGGGCGGATGTTTGCAGGTAAAGGGATGGCTGGAAAATGGGAAGCTTTTCAAAAATGAAAATCCAGAGACAATATGTTCTTGTTGGGTGAAGGGCAAGGCTGGTAGGTATAGGGAATGCTGGATGACTAGAGAAATTGAGGTTTTGGTCAAGAAAAAGTATAGACAGCAGAGATCAAATGAATCCCTAGAAGAGGACAAAGGCAGTAGGTGTATACTTAAGAGGGAAATCAGGAGGACAAAAAGGGGACATGAGATAGCTTGGGCAAATAGAGCGAAGGAGAATCCAAAGGGTTTCTACAAATACATTAATGACAAAAGGGTAACTAGGGAGAGAATAGGTCCCCTTAAAGATCAGCAAGGCCGTCTGTGTGTGGAACCTCAAGAGATGGGGGAGATACTAGATGAGTACTTTACATCAGTGTTTACTGTGGAGAAGGATATGGAAGATATAAAACGTGAGAAAATAAATAGCAACTAAATTTAGTCTACAACAGATCCAGAAATGACACTTGGAAAACCCTTGAGTAAAAAAAATTTCAAGAACCACAAGCACAAAGGCAACTAAACTGTCTCCTAAAATGTTACTTTCTGAAATAAATTACTTAATTTTCATTTGGATGATTCAGTACTTTATATTGCTAAAATGTGACCAGAGTGGCACAGCATGGTGGCTCAGTGGTTAGCACTGCTGCCTCACAGCACCAGGGACCTGGGTTTGATCCCAGCCTTGGGTGACTGTCGGTGGAATTTGCACATTCTCCCTCTGTCTGCTTGGGTTTCCTCCCCGAATCCAAAGAAATGTAGGATAGGTGGATTGGCTATGCTAAATTGCCCATAGTGTCTAGAGTGGGATGCTCTTTGGAGGGTCACTGTGGAATTGATGGGCTGAATGGCCTGCTTCCACACTGTAGGGATTCTATTCTATGATTAGATTGAAGCTTTTCATTTCATACTCAACAGAACTGGGGCGCAAGAAACAGACTTGGCAAAAAAGAGACACATTTTATACATTATGAAAAGAGACTGCTGATTACTTGGGCCATAACTGGTGTGGAGGTGTGACAAGAACAGTAAACTATCAATCTTAATTCTCAGACCAGATTCTGAATGGTCAGGACATGGCCACTGGGATGCAGCAGAGTTGGTTGTCTACATAACCTCATTTATGGAAAACTATGCAAGCCATGTATAAATACCTTTGCCTACATAAAAGGATCTTTAGTATTTATGTACATAGCTTCACATTGTGAGCCCAGCTGACAATTTTAAATTGGTTTCCAGTGTAACTCTTAGCACAGTCCAGATCGTTTAATAAATGATTTCCAATGGCAGGATTACATTTAATGGTGGTTATACTTTTCTGAGGCTTGCACCCATGGGCTGATTCAGCCTGATTGCCATACTGCCAGCTTTGAATGGATAATGAAATGGGTTATTTGAAATGGTCCACCAGTCATTGGGACATACAGTCTACGTACCTAACATCACACCGGTACTGGAACCCATTGAGTCACACAGTACAGGAACAGACCTATCGGCCCAACTCATCCACACTGACCAGGTTTCCTAAACTGAAATAATCCAATTTGCCTGCATTTGGCCCATATCCGTCTAAACATTTCCTATCCACTTACCTATCCAAATGTCTTTTATAAATTGTAATTATGATCGCCTCCATGACTTCCTCTGGCAGCTCTTTCCGTACACGCATCACCCTCTGTGTGAAAAATGTGGCTCTCAGATCCCTTTTAAATCTCTCTTATCTTAAACCGATGTCCTCTTGTTTTGAACTCCCCTACCCTGGATAAAAGACCTTGGCAATTCACTCTTCATGATTTTATAAACCTCCATAAAGTCACCCTTGAACCTCCTCTAAGCTCCAGGGAAAAAAGTCCCAGCCCATCCAACCTCCCCTTATAATTCAAACCCTCCAGTATTGGTAACATCCTTGGAAATCTTTTTTTGCACCCTTCCTAGTTTAATAATATCCTTCCCATAGCAGGACAACCAGAATTGTATGCAGCACTCTAAATGTGGTCTTACCATCGTCATGTACAACTGTAACATGACGTCCCAATTCCTGTACTCAATGCTCTAACCAATGAAGGCAAG